AAATCCTAGTGAGATAAATAGAAAGGAGCATAAACACTGCTAAATTAAGTGTAAAAATGTAATAAGAAAAGCCAAAAAGGAGTTTGAAGAACAGCTAGCCAAAAACTCAAAGAATAATAACATGTCATGCCTCTTCACACATGCATGTGGCTAACAGGGTAAGGCCCCTGTGTGGAAGCCAGCTGGAGCCACATGCCCAAGGGTGGCATGGCACATGCTCGCACATGCACAGGCTAGCAGAGACTGGTAGGAAATAGCCCAGGACGGGATATTGTAGACTATGGCTCTCAGAGTGTTACAGTGGGATTCCCCACTGTGATGGACCGGGCTGGGTCTGGGCACACCTGAGGATGTTCACTCAGGGCAAATTGCTCAAATTCGGGGCTCCTTACAGCCCCCAGACTGGAGACTTTCCCAAACAGGCTACAAACCAGTCCCATGGAGCACTTCAGCTGCCTGCCTTAAGCCTCGTGAGCAAAACCCCTCCGAAACCCCAGCAATATCTGTGCCCCAGATGGCCCCGGGCCTCATACACAGGTGAAGGGTCTTAGAACCCAACCTCACCTACACTGAACAAGTTCTGTCCGGTTCCAAGAAACCAGGCACAGTTCCCAGGTCAATTTACCCTCCGGATCTTACCCACAAATCACGCTGAACATCTAACATCTAAAGGTTTATTACTACAAGAAAGAAAAGCATTAGAGTAAGGTTGTTAAGGTATCATACATTACATGCATCGAATCTCCCAGTTCTCAATGCAGGCTTGCAGCAGAGATGTTATAACTGATGGCTTAAAAGTCTTTGGTGAACATCCTATGTCAGGATGGATCCACAGTTCTTTCCGGCTCTTCGATCCCTGCACTACTGCCTCTGGGATGAAGAGCTGAGCTGAGTACCAAGATAGAGTTGGCCACATGGCATATTTATACCTCCTTCCTGGTCTCTTCTTGGCTGCAGCAGGTCACCTGGCCAGCAGCCTATCTCTGTGTTCCCTGCTGGTAGCCCTTAAATGTCAGTCCCCATTCTTGAGGTGTGTCCTTGGCTTATTGAGGGCTATTGTTCCACAGAGCCTTGCTAATTAGCATGTCCATAGGCCAATCTCTGCCCATTGCTCAACCACATACAGAGAAACATTCAGTACTCATATAAAGTACATGCTTATAACTTCACACACAGACATTATACAATTACATAAATAGCATATACAGAATCAGAAGACAGTAAGCTTCTATTCGACACCTCCCATGGCCCTCTTTATACCACTTTTGGGGCAAACACCCCCTCATGGGTGCAACAGTGATATGGCTGCTCCCCTCAAAATCCAGTAACGTGACACCCACTGAGAGAGCAGTGGACTTTACCACTGTTAATAGGGCTCTGGGCTGAGACCTGGTGGGGTAGGGAAGGCCCGGGTCCCCCTATCATTTCCTCAATCCCCAAGCTGGGAAATAGAGTTGACACTGATTGTTAAGCCACTTTGTCCAACTCTTGCATGTATCTGAAAAGTATTATAAATATTGCAAAAATAGTGCATTGATTTATAATGAACTGTGTAATCCATACATGATTCTCTGCTATCGCAGTGGAGTTATTAGATATACTTAATATTTTTGAGCAAGATGTTTTAAATAATTGATTGCAAAGTCAAAGGGTATTGATTGCACAGGATTTGCAACATCTTTTTATATCCTATTTCACTTAGGTTTCTATATGATTTTGCAGTTGACAGCTCAGTTCACTCTCTGTGATCCAAGACTCCTTGCTCAAGCAGTAGTTTAAACACACACATTTCAGCTAAACTGCAAGGCAAGACCAATAAAGATTTTAAGTAAGGGAGTGGAAGAAAACTGGAGTCCCTTATCTCATTTTCCATTTGTGGTTCTGTGCAGGAGTTGGACACTATTATAGCCTTTTTGCATTGTATGCTGCAGACTCAGAATGACCATGCCTCCTGTTTCTGAGACAGCAGGGATTGGAACATGGCCATAAACCAGTATATCCTACTTTGGCAACACAAGTTGACACTAGTTCAAAGGTAGCAAACACAACATTCTTGGAAAGGAATGTTCTCCCAGCAATCCCTGAGCTCCAAGAGGCTTTGTAGCAGAGTCAGGCAGAAAGATTTCCTGAGCTGTTCCTGAGCCACTATGACTTTCTGGCTTATGGAATTATACACTCAATTGAGCCTTTAATGTTTAAGTGTTGAAAACCATTACAGTAAGCAGACATCTTTCTATGTATTGCTCCTCAACTCTGCTGCATCCTCAACTCTACCTGGCCTGAAGAAGGAATTAGGATGCATGCATGTTTTAGGACATGGCTTGAAAAATAAATCTCATCTTTTCTTGTAAGGAATATTTGTGAAGTTGTGAGCTCTTTCAAATGTGTCAGTACCAAACTTGTGAGTGCTATGATCCTTGTGATAATTCATTCTGTCCAAGAATGATGGACTAATATGTATGGTGTCTCTGTGATGCAGCGTGGGAACTTCCGCTTGTTCACAGGAGGTGATTGTGGAGATGAAAGGGTATCTTAAAGGCATGAATAGTCAGGCAATTTTGAAATTAAAACATTTTAAAAGCAACATCTTACTCAAATATGATAGTCCAGAACAGAGGAACCTTTGAAATGGGGCCCATCGGAGTAATCCATTTGTTTAAATTAAATTATCTATAAGAATTCTGCAGGCTTGAAGCTTTATTTTTAAAATTACTTATCCGGGTCCCAAACCAAAGGTTACAACCTCCTGTCAAAGAGAGCCATGTTTCCTCACTTGTTTATATCTGCATTAGAGACATACATTGCTTTTAGAAAAACCTTTCCATTCATCTGTACATAGTAGTCCAATGTTGAAATAGCAGAAATAATTGCATCCTATGCAATTTTTACCTTTTTGATGCCCATGGTCCTAATTCATTCTGATACAATTCCACTGACATCAGGAGAGTTGTACCAGAGCTGAATTTGGTCCAGTCCTTCATCCCACTCTCCTCATAGAAAACACAATGCTGCTCTGTATGTCTCTTGTTAGAGGGATGCCCCACAGTTTGAGAAGGCCGATAATTCGCTTCCTGCAGCTCCCATTGGCCAGAAGCAGTGAACTACAGCCACTGGAAGCTGGAGGAGGCCATGCCAGTGAACATTCAGGCTGTGTCTAGACTGGCAAGTTTTTCCGGAAAAACTTGCCAGTCTAGACACAGCCTGAATGTTCACTGGCATGGCCTCCTCCAGCTTCCAGTGGCTGTAGTTCACTGCTTCTGGCCAATGGGAGCTGCAGGAAGCGAATTATCGGCCTTCTCAAACTGTGGGGCATCCCTCTAACAAGAGACATACAGAGCAGCATTGTGTTTTCTATGAGGAGAGTGGGATGAAGGACTGGACCAAATTCAGCTCTGGTACAACTCTCCTGATGTCAGTGGAATTGTATCAGAATGAATTAGGACCATGGGCATCAAAAAGGTAAAAATTGCATAGGATGCAATTATTTCTGCTATTTCAACATTGGACTACTATGTACAGATGAATGGAAAGGTTTTTCTAAAAGCAATGTATGTCTCTAATGCAGATATAAACAAGTGAGGAAACATGGCTCTCTTTGACAGGAGGTTGTAACCTTTGGTTTGGGACCCGGATAAGTAATTTTAAAAATAAAGCTTCAAGCCTGCAGAATTCTTATAGATAATTTAATTTAGTGGAGGATTAAATGACTCCGATGATTTACGAAACTTGAAGGCTACGTCTAGACCTCAAGCCTCTTTCGAAAGAGGCTTTTTTGAAAGATACGTTTGAAAAAGAATGTCTAGACTACAACCAGTACTTTTGAAAAAGCAAGCCGCTTTTTTGAAAGAGAGCACTCAGGCAGTCTGGATGCTCTCTTTCGAAAACGCACAGTTTGCATTACATAGTGCCTTTTTTCGAAAGAGCACTTTCGAAAAAAGGCGTTCTTCCTCGTAAAAGGAGGTTTTCCGTAGTTGATAAAACTGATGCATTCTTCCGATTTACTTTCGAAAGAATGTGGCAGCAGTCTAGATGCAGGGGAAGTTTTTTTTCAAAAAGCCACTTTTTTCAGGTGTGAGTAACTGTATTGGTAGTTCAACACAAAGAACAACCATGTTCTGCTTACCCAGCAAGTCACCTCTTCAAAGGATGGCGATTGAAGTGGCTCATATGTCACTTATTTATTAAGTGCTCTAAAGTCTTCAAATATTATCCAGAATTAAATTAGTTTAAGAACACTGAGTTCTGAAACCAGGAAACAAAACAGGCATTGGAACAGAAAGCAGAAAGACAACTCACAAGTTATTCATCACAGGTAACAGAAAAATATCCCCACCTGTTTACAAAAGACACTAGCATAATATGCTTTCTGTAGCTAGTTAAGGTAATGCCTAGGTTTTCCATCCCTCCCAGTTGCTATCTGGGAGGCTTTTGGCTGCTAAAATTCCAGTGGCCCAGCAGGTCTAAGGCTGGCTCCCTACCTGCCATGACCCCATGCTCCTCCTGGAAGCTGCTAGCATCCTGGCACCCCTGTGGGAGGTAGTGGTGGGAGGTCTCCACATGCTACCTCCCCCCAAATGCTGATCCTACATCTTTCATTGGCCAGGAATTGGCAACTGTAGCCAATGGAAGCTCTGGGGGTGGTGCCACCAGGCAAGGGCATCTCCCATCGGCCAGCAAGCTCTGGGGGTGGTGCCACCAAGCAGGGGCAAGTGCAAGGAGCCACTCTAAGGGCTACAGTGACGTCCCAGCCACTTCTGTAAGTGATTAAAGGTGAACAAGTGACAGAAGAAGAGGAATGGAGTGAGCAAGGTGGGGCCTCAGAGAAGAGGCAAGGCAGAGGTGAGAGAGAGATTTGTTTCCAATTGAACAAGTAATATTTCAAATAAAATGGGATTATTCAACATAAGTACAAAGAAATACTACATCTTAGAAATGAGAACATATTTCTAAATAGAAAACTGCAACTAAAGATACTTTATTTACTCTTAAAATGCCACTTTGGTAAGATAAAACAGGTTTTGGCTGCAAAGAGAACTAAACAGAATATTCCATAAAGAACAAGAGGCATATTTTCCATTACTGCATAGAGAATTACATTCACGGCTTCTGTTAATGTTAATGGGACTTTCATGGCAAGTCCTCGAATACCAGGCTGAAGGTTTTCTGTCTCCTAATCACAGAATAAGAAGAACACTAGAGGATTTTGAGCACTTCTTCAGAGGTGCAAAATTAACTTGGCCTGAAGCGATTAGAAGTTCTGCAAATTAGATAAGAGAGTTAAATATATACTTAATTTACAACATCCTAAATGTCTTGGAGGGTTTCCTGTTGTATAATAGTCTAACAGTTCCTCAAAGTTCTATTAAAAGGTATTTTTCTATATTAATAGCAGCCTGACTTACTACTTTTGACCTTTTTATACAAATTCTCAATGACATATCTTTAAACAGTGCTAGGGGAATGCTTTGGCAATACATTTTAGTACTTACATAAACTGAAATATCTAATGCAGCATCATGTATTTCAGCAATTTTGTGCGTATTTGATACAGACAATTAAAATATACTAAATTGTCTTTTCACGTGTAAAAAGGATTTGGAAACTACCGTAAGGTTGAGAGAAATAATCATCTACAGCCCCTAAATAATAGAGTTAAACAAACTTTGGACCAATAAACTTCTGTAGGATTAAGAAATGTGGTTACAATACAGAAAAATATTATAAACCAAATGAATATTTTGGGGTTGAAAATAAAAGCAGAGACAGGTGCTAAATCATGTTTTGGTATCATCAAGCCCACAGAACCAGGATAAGTGGTGACACCAGCAGCTGCATTTTCTCTACAAGGGTATGTCTACACTAGCCCCCTAGTTCGAACTAGAGAGGCTAATGTAGGCATTCAAAGTTGCAAATGAAGTCCAGGATTTAAATATCCCAGGCTTTATTTGCATCTTCCCGTCCGGGTGCCATTTTTAAATCCCCCTAGTCCGAACTAATTGCCCGCGGCTACACGCGGCAGTCAAACGTTAACTCGAACTAAGTCCTTATTATTTTAAAAATAATCTTGCCATTTCAGAGGTACTGCTATCAGCAACTCCCTTTTGGCTTACTTTATGCTCCTAAAGTATTTCAGAAGATCATCTCCAAGCTCCTGGATAGTATCTGACACCACTGTTTAAAATGCTAAAATGTGCAAGGGGATATGTGCTCTCCACTGGTTTAGATGGATGTAGTCATTTAGAAAACTGTCTACATTCTACAAAATTCTTTCTGAGAACTTGATGAAGATGGGCTACTCTACACTCCTTATGCAGCAGAACCTGAGTGGTCATCCCAATAGTGCTCTGAATGGATGTGGCTCATGAAGAACATTTGGGAGTAATGAAGATTAAGGAACTTCTGTATAGTCGCAGTGGGGGTATGTCTACACAGCAAAGTTATTTTGGAATCAGGAGCGGCTCAAGGTGAGCTGCCGGCAACTGGCGCCCTAGGCGGAATGTGCAATCGGTGTCCCCGCCTCCATCGCCCTCAACGGCGTTACGTCATCATTGAGCACTGCGTCTAACGTAGTGCCCTAGGCAACTGCCAAGGTTGCCTACATCCACGGGCTGCCCCTGTTTGGAATAATGACCACTATTCCAAAATAACTTTGTGAGTGTCTACACAGCGAAACTGCTATTTTGAAATAATTTTGAAGTAGCGGACGGCTTATTTTGAGTTCTGTAAACCTCATTCTACGAGGAATAGTGCCTATTCTGAAATAGCTATTTTGGATTAGGTGCTGTGTAGACAGGGAATAGGGGCTATTTAGAAATAGGGGGCTTCCAATCCTTCCCAGGGTGCCCTGCTGGACACTCTGTCCACACACAGGAAAACTCTATCCCCCCCTCCCTTGGAGCCCTTAAAGCTGCAGACTCTGCAGACAAAGTTTGTGGCTCACAGCTGGCCTGACAGCCCTGAGTCACCCTGCAGCTGTCTCTGTCAGCATTTTTAGGCACAGGATGAACCAGCCAGACAGGTGCCAGTCAGCCCTCCACTGCTCCCCAGGAGCATTCAGACAGCTCCTAGGTACCTGCCAGGGGCTGCAAGCGACGTGTGCCTTCCTGGTCTGGTGCGGAGGACCTGGACCTTATTGAGGTTTGGGTGGACAAGAGAAACCTCTAGGATCTCTGCATCAGACGCAGGAACACAGATGTCTATGGCCGCATGGCAGACAGCCTGGGGAGCAAAGGCCACATCTGCACCCAAGAACAGGTTCGGATGAAGATCAAGGAGCTCCGCCAGGCTTATGCCAGGGCCAAGGAGGGCAGCTCCCAATCCGGGGCAGAGCCCCACACCTGCTCTTATTTTAAGGAGCTCAACCGCATCCTGGGTGACAGAACAGTCCCCCCTCCTCCCCAGTTATAGTCTCCAGGAGGAGGAGGAGGAGAAGGCCCAGGACCTGGATAAGGCCAGCCTGAGCACAGAGGTGACCCAGGAGCCCTGAGGCCTCCCTGAGGACATCTCCCAAACATTGTCCAAGGATGTGGAAGGAACATCATGTGAGTACCATCACTTTCCCTTCATGCAGGGGATGCGGGGGGAGCTAGGAACTCCACACTTGGCCATTGCTGGCCCCGGATCATGCAGCAACCTGTGCATGTTGGAGCATGTGCCATGCCACTCCTGAGCACGTGGCCTTAGCAGCCTGTGACAGAGGACCCTTGTGCTATTGGCCACAGTGTGTCTGGAGAGGCCTGCCATGCTCCTGACCTCAGGGTGGGACACCCTCCTTCCACTAGCCACCATTAGAAGGAGGCAGGGGATGGACACACACACACACACAGAGACAAACACGCACGCGCGTGCGAATGCACTCAGAACTCCCACACACTGAACACGGGCATGCCCACAGTCTTGGGGCAGCCCCAACTCCCAGGGACATCAGGAGCCACTGGCCGTGCACATGGTCTGGCTCCAAGCACGTCAGTTGTGACAGCACCAACAACTATTGCTCTCAGTTTGCAGAGAGGGCCTGGGCTTCAGGCACTGTGTCCCCTGGGATGACAGACCATATTTCTTTATTCTCCACAGCCAGACTAGCTCCGAGTGGAGGGCAGCTCACACCACCCAGGACATCCTTCCATACCCGAGGCTTCCACATGTGCACACGTCCAATGGAAGAGTACCAGTGACAGCACCGGGTGGCACCGTGAGCCCTGCACAATACCATCCACCACTGGGTGGAGGAAGACCTGCAGCTACAGCAGGAGAACTGGTGGGAGCTGCTTGCGCAGGGCTACTCCCTGTGCAGTGATGTGCACACCCTTGTGCAGAGCATGCTTCCTCCTCCCACTCCAAACTCTGCTCCATCTTCTGTTTTTGCTCCTCCTCCCACTCCCATTCTTCCTCCTGCTTCTCCCTCCACACCCTCCCTACCCCTCTGTGGATGCCGAGGCCCCCGCACCTGTGGTGGTGGGATCCACAGAGGCTGTCATCACTCCCAGCCTGAGCCTCTCCTCCCCCTTCCAGCTCCCTTCTCTCTCCTCCAAGGTTCTCACCACCCCTCTTCTTTCACCCTCTCTCCTCGACTCTCCTAGGTTCTTTCCCATCTCTCTCCCCAGTTTCATTGAGCCCCCACCGCCAGTTATGGCAAATACAGACTGTTTAGTATCAGAGGGATAGCTGTGTTAGTCTGAATCTGCAAAAGCAGCAAGGAGTCCTGTAGCATCCTAGGGTATGTCTACACTAGCTCATTAGTTCGAGCTAGGTAGGCAAATGAGGACAACCGGAGTTGCAAATGAAGCCTGGGATTTAAATATCCCAGGCTTCATTTGCATGTTCCCGGGCACCGCCATTTTTAAATCCCCCTTAGTCTGAACTCCGTGCCCGCAGCTACACGTGGCATGGAGTAGGTAGTTCGAATTAGAGATTCAAATTCAAACTACTGTTACTCCTCTAATTAGGATCTCTAATTTGAACTACCTACTCCGTGCCGTGTGTAGCCACGGGCATGGAGTTCGGACTAAGGGGGATTTAAAAATGGTGGCGCCTGGGAACATGCAAATGAAGCCCAGGATATTTAAATCCCGGGCTTCATTTGCAACTCCGGTTGCCCTCATTTGCCTACCTAGCTCGAACTAATGAGGTAGTGTAGGCATACCCTTATAGACTAACCGAAGTGTTGGAGCATAGGCTTTCATGGACAAAGGCCCCCCTTCGTCAGATGCATCTGACGAAGTGGGTCTTTGCCCACGAAAGCTTATGCTCCAACATTTCGGTTAGTCTATAAGGTGCCACAGGACTTCTTGCCGCTTTTACAGTCTGTTTAGTTGTTCAAAACAAAAATGTCTTTATTTTGTTATTGGGAAAGAGGGGAAGGGGGGGAAGAAGGGGTAAGTGGAGGAATGGCAGTGAGGGGTGAAGCAGAAGCCCCCAGTGGTGTGGCCAAGGGGACAGTGTCACTGCTGCCTGGGGAGACACTCTCCCTCAGGGCTTCTCGCATGTGCACAGCCCCATCATGGGCCTGCTGGATGGCAGCTGTGTGTGGCTGCTGTAGGCCCTGCCTAAGCAGTCTGCCTCTGCACCCCTCCCTGGAAGGAAGGCCTCCCCCTTCGTCTCACACACATGCAGGACAGAACACATAGCCACCACATGAGGGATGTTGTGCTCCCTGAGGTCCAGGTGGGTGAGGAGGCACCTTCAGGTAGCCAAAGGTATCCTCGACCACCATGCGGGCCCTGCTCAGCGTGGCATTAAATGCGTGTCATGAGGTATTGAGGTGGCCAGTGTAGGGCTTCATGAGCCATGGCTACAGGGGATAGGACACATCCCCCACCAGGCATACAGGCATGTCCATGTCCCTGACCCTGATTTGGCGGTCAGGAAAGAAAGTCCTGGCATGCAGCTTCTGGCAGATGCTAGAGTTCCTGAGCACACATGTGTCATGTGCTTTCCCCAACCACCCAACATTTATGTCTGTAAACTGGCCCTGGTGGTCAGTCACAGCCTGCAGGACCACTGAAAAGTATTCCTTGCAGTTGATGTAGCTTGATGCCTGGTGGTCTGGGGCATGAATGGGATGTGTGTCCTTTTAATAGCCCCACCGCGTGGTTGGGGAATCCCAGTATGCCAAACCCCTCCAGGGCTGCGTCCACATCTGCCAGGTGGATGATTCTGCACAGCAGGATGCTGTTGATGGCCCTGACCACCTGCAGAAGGAGACAAACAAACCAAGAATGACAGGAAGGGCGCCTGCCACTTCCCTTCCCTTCCCCCCTTCTACTCTCCCTCCTCCCACTCACCGGGAGCAATCCCCTGCAATCAAGGCCCCCGCAGGCAGGGCTTTGTGAGGATGGGCAGAACAAACCTGCCTGGGGAGGTGGCTTGCACCACCCCCACCCCTTTTCCCTAGGGAAGCCCATCCCAACCTTCCACCCCCGTCCTGGGACAATAGCCTGAGAATGCCATACCTGCCCGAGAAGGGCCCCGATGGTTGATCGCCCCATGCTGAATTGGTTCCCCATGGATCGGTAGCTATTCGGCATGGAGAGTTTCCAGAGGGCAATGGTGACATGCTTCTGGAGGGGGATGGTGGGCCTCAGGGCAGGGGTGAGCCACTCTTAGAGCTCGGGGAGGGTGCCTTCCTTCATTCTGAAGTTCTGGAGCCATTGTTGGTTTCCCCAGAGCTCCAGAACGATGTGGTCCCACCAGTCTGCACTGGAGTCCAGATGCCAGATGCAGCAGGGCATGGCATCTGGGTCATGGTGGGTGGCATCCAGCTCCTGTAGCTGCTCTCCCACATACCCGAGAAGGGTCTCCCAGAAGCCATGGGGTTCGGTTCCTGCAGAGCCTGGGAGGGAGCCTGCAGGAAGTGCTGCATGACTTGCAGCAAAAGCTGCAAGAGCTGAAGACTGCCCTGAGGCAGCTCCTCCAGCTCCATAGCAGATAGTGCTGTGGTGTCCTGAATCATGGCAACCAGATCAAGAAGAGAAAATGCTTTGCTGTCCCTTAGGGTATGTCTACACTACAGCGCTAGTTCGAACTAACTTAGTTCGAATTAGTTAATACGAACTAAGCTAATTCGAACTAAGGCGTCTAGAACTAAAAACTAGTTCGAATTAGCGTTTTGCTAATTCGAACTAGCAAGTCCACATTGAGTGGACTCTGAAGAGGGCTTAAGGATGGCCGGAAGCAGTGCCGGCAGGGCATAAAAGGAGGACTTAGAGCATGGAGATGCTGTCTCAGGCTAGCCGAGGGCTGCGCTTAAAGGGTCCCGACCCCCACCCCGGACACACAGTTCTAAGGGGTGCCCCGCTTGCAAAGAAGTTCTGGCTTGGAGTGCCCTGAGTGCCCACACTGGGCACATCACACCACTCGGCCATCAGCCCGGCTGCACTTGCCGCAGGCTGCCATCTGGGGAGAGGGAGTAATTGGGGGGCTGCAGGAGAGCTTCCACCCCCAGAAGCCCGCAGAGCCAGCCCAGTCCTAGTTTTAAATCCCCTTTAATGCGGACTCTGTGCCCACGGCTACATGCGGCACGGAGTAGGTAGTTCGAATTAGGCTCTCTAATTACACCTCGTTCCATGAGGAGTAACAGTAGTTCGAATTAGAGAGCCTAATTCGAACTACCTTCTCCGTGCCGTGTGTAGCCACGGGCATGGAGTTCGGACTAAGGGGGATTTAAAAATGGTGGCGCCTGGGAACATGCAAATGAAGCCCAGGATATTTAAATCCCGGGCTTCATTTGCAACTCCGGTTGCCCTCATTTGCCTACCTAGCTCGAACTAATGAGGTAGTGTAGGCATACCCTTATAGACTAACCGAAGTGTTGGAGCATAGGCTTTCATGGACAAAGGCCCCCCTTCGTCAGATGCATCTGACGAAGTGGGTCTTTGCCCACGAAAGCTTATGCTCCAACATTTCGGTTAGTCTATAAGGTGCCACAGGACTTCTTGCCGCTTTTACAGTCTGTTTAGTTGTTCAAAACAAAAATGTCTTTATTTTGTTATTGGGAAAGAGGGGAAGGGGGGGAAGAAGGGGTAAGTGGAGGAATGGCAGTGAGGGGTGAAGCAGAAGCCCCCAGTGGTGTGGCCAAGGGGACAGTGTCACTGCTGCCTGGGGAGACACTCTCCCTCAGGGCTTCTCGCATGTGCACAGCCCCATCATGGGCCTGCTGGATGGCAGCTGTGTGTGGCTGCTGTAGGCCCTGCCTAAGCAGTCTGCCTCTGCACCCCTCCCTGGAAGGAAGGCCTCCCCCTTCGTCTCACACACATGCAGGACAGAACACATAGCCACCACATGAGGGATGTTGTGCTCCCTGAGGTCCAGGTGGGTGAGGAGGCACCTTCAGGTAGCCAAAGGTATCCTCGACCACCATGCGGGCCCTGCTCAGCGTGGCATTAAATGCGTGTCATGAGGTATTGAGGTGGCCAGTGTAGGGCTTCATGAGCCATGGCTACAGGGGATAGGACACATCCCCCACCAGGCATACAGGCATGTCCATGTCCCTGACCCTGATTTGGCGGTCAGGAAAGAAAGTCCTGGCATGCAGCTTCTGGCAGATGCTAGAGTTCCTGAGCACACATGTGTCATGTGCTTTCCCCAACCACCCAACATTTATGTCTGTAAACTGGCCCTGGTGGTCAGTCACAGCCTGCAGGACCACTGAAAAGTATTCCTTGCAGTTGATGTAGCTTGATGCCTGGTGGTCTGGGGCATGAATGGGATGTGTGTCCTTTTAATAGCCCCACCGCGTGGTTGGGGAATCCCAGTATGCCAAACCCCTCCAGGGCTGCGTCCACATCTGCCAGGTGGATGATTCTGCACAGCAGGATGCTGTTGATGGCCCTGACCACCTGCAGAAGGAGACAAACAAACCAAGAATGACAGGAAGGGCGCCTGCCACTTCCCTTCCCTTCCCCCCTTCTACTCTCCCTCCTCCCACTCACCGGGAGCAATCCCCTGCAATCAAGGCCCCCGCAGGCAGGGCTTTGTGAGGATGGGCAGAACAAACCTGCCTGGGGAGGTGGCTTGCACCACCCCCACCCCTTTTCCCTAGGGAAGCCCATCCCAACCTTCCACCCCCGTCCTGGGACAATAGCCTGAGAATGCCATACCTGCCCGAGAAGGGCCCCGATGGTTGATCGCCCCATGCTGAATTGGTTCCCCATGGATCGGTAGCTATTCGGCATGGAGAGTTTCCAGAGGGCAATGGTGACATGCTTCTGGAGGGGGATGGTGGGCCTCAGGGCAGGGGTGAGCCACTCTTAGAGCTCGGGGAGGGTGCCTTCCTTCATTCTGAAGTTCTGGAGCCATTGTTGGTTTCCCCAGAGCTCCAGAACGATGTGGTCCCACCAGTCTGCACTGGAGTCCAGATGCCAGATGCAGCAGGGCATGGCATCTGGGTCATGGTGGGTGGCATCCAGCTCCTGTAGCTGCTCTCCCACATACCCGAGAAGGGTCTCCCAGAAGCCATGGGGTTCGGTTCCTGCAGAGCCTGGGAGGGAGCCTGCAGGAAGTGCTGCATGACTTGCAGCAAAAGCTGCAAGAGCTGAAGACTGCCCTGAGGCAGCTCCTCCAGCTCCATAGCAGATAGTGCTGTGGTGTCCTGAATCATGGCAACCAGATCAAGAAGAGAAAATGCTTTGCTGTCCCTTAGGGTATGTCTACACTACAGCGCTAGTTCGAACTAACTTAGTTCGAATTAGTTAATACGAACTAAGCTAATTCGAACTAAGGCGTCTAGAACTAAAAACTAGTTCGAATTAGCAAAACGCTAATTCGAACTAGTTTTTAGTTCTAGACGCCTTAGTTCGAATTAGTTAATACGAACTAAGCTAATTCGAACTAAGGCGTCTAGAACTAAAAACTAGTTCGAATTAGCAAAACGCTAATTCGAACTAGTTTTTAGTTCTAGACGCCTTAGTTCGAATTAGTTAATACGAACTAAGCTAATTCGAACTAAGGCGTCTAGAACTAAAAACTAGTTCGAATTAGCAAAACGCTAATTCGAACTAGTTTTTAGTTCTAGACGCCTTAGTTCGAATTAGTTAATACGAACTAAGCTAATTCGAACTAAGGCGTCTAGAACTAAAAACTAGTTCGAATTAGCAAAACGCTAATTCGAACTAGTTTTTAGTTCTAGACGCCTTAGTTCGAATTAGTTAATACGAACTAAGCTAATTCGAACTAAGGCGTCTAGAACTAAAAACTAGTTCGAATTAGCAAAACGCTAATTCGAACTAGTTTTTAGTTCTAGACGCCTTAGTTCGAATTAGTTAATACGAACTAAGCTAATTCGAACTAAGGCGTCTAGAACTAAAAACTAGTTCGAATTAGCAAAACGCTAATTCGAACTAGTTTTTAGTTCTAGACGCCTTAGTTCGAATTAGTTAATACGAACTAAGCTAATTCGAACTAAGGCGTCTAGAACTAAAAACTAGTTCGAATTAGCAAAACGCTAATTCGAACTAGTTTTTAGTTCTAGACGCCTTAGTTCGAATTAGTTAATACGAACTAAGCTAATTCGAACTAAGGCGTCTAGAACTAAAAACTAGTTCGAATTAGCAAAACGCTAATTCGAACTAGTTTTTAGTTCTAGACGCCTTAGTTCGAATTAGTTAATACGAACTAAGCTAATTCGAACTAAGGCGTCTAGAACTAAAAACTAGTTCGAATTAGCAAAACGCTAATTCGAACTAGTTTTTAGTTCTAGACGCCTTAGTTCGAATTAGTTAATACGAACTAAGCTAATTCGAACTAAGGCGTCTAGAACTAAAAACTAGTTCGAATTAGCAAAACGCTAATTCGAACTAGTTTTTAGTTCTAGACGCCTTAGTTCGAATTAGTTAATACGAACTAAGCTAATTCGAACTAAGGCGTCTAGAACTAAAAACTAGTTCGAATTAGCAAAACGCTAATTCGAACTAGTTTTTAGTTCTAGACGCCTTAGTTCGAATTAGTTAATACGAACTAAGCTAATTCGAACTAAGGCGTCTAGAACTAAAAACTAGTTCGAATTAGCAAAACGCTAATTCGAACTAGTTTTTAGTTCTAGACGCCTTAGTTCGAATTAGTTAATACGAACTAAGCTAATTCGAACTAAGGCGTCTAGAACTAAAAACTAGTTCGAATTAGCAAAACGCTAATTCGAACTAGTTTTTAGTTCTAGACGCCTTAGTTCGAATTAGTTAATACGAACTAAGCTAATTCGAACTAAGGCGTCTAGAACTAAAAACTAGTTCGAATTAGCAAAACGCTAATTCGAACTAGTTTTTAGTTCTAGACGCCTTAGTTCGAATTAGTTAATACGAACTAAGCTAATTCGAACTAAGGCGTCTAGAACTAAAAACTAGTTCGAATTAGCAAAACGCTAATTCGAACTAGTTTTTAGTTCTAGACGCCTTAGTTCGAATTAGTTAATACGAACTAAGCTAATTCGAACTAAGTTAGTTCGAACTAGCGCTGTAGTGTAGACATACCCTCAGAGAGGTAGACAAGCAAGCAGGGAAACCGGTGAAATGGCTGTCCAGGGGGGTCCCTTTAAGCACAAGCCTCAAGCAGTGGCCACACGAGGTAACTAAATAAAGCCTTTTCCG